CTAATAGTTAAGTATTGTATATATTATCACTAAGAAAGTAAATTTCTAATGTTCTCACAACAAAAAAATGTTAAAATAATTAAAAACCATAACCCAACGTTGCACCCCAGGAATATATATGACTATCACTTGTCAGACCTTAGGGGTCCATGGAGAGAGAGAGAGAGAGAGAGAGAGAGAGAGAGAGAGAGAGAGAGAGAGATAAAGATATGAATCCTTTTATTGGGGAGAAGCCACTCAAATGAGGCAAGGGGTCAGGTTTCAAGGGGTTAAGTCTAGCTTGTGATGTCTGCTGTCAGCAGATGACTGACAGCTAGGAAGGCCATCCCTAAAGGTAGAGCAAGAGAAGGGGACACACAAAGGGAGTTTCCATGGAACATTCTATCCCAAAAAGGGCAAAGGGGTAGGATTACAAAAGAATAGGTGAGTGTAGCTCAACCCCAGGGGTATGCCTTCTCAGAAGACTGGCCTTGCTATCCGAGGGGGGGTGGGGTATAAAGACTGAGTCTCGAGTCGCACTACCGCTCCAGAGTCATAGCACTACTACTCCAGACTAGAGTGACCTTTCAGATCCTGTGGTGTATTAGGACTGGAAGGCATGATAACTCAATATGGCTCCCCACAAATAATAATAATAAAAAAACAGATGCAGGATTAGATTGTGGTTAGAATATCAACTTCTAAATTAAAGCTGGATTGAAAAACATGACTTGGGCCTACAACCAAAGAGGTAGGGTTCTACTATTAGCACCCCCACATCTACATCCTGAAGTACAGGCCAAAGAGTAGACATCTGGTCAGCCAGAGGTTCCTTAAATCTGATTATGCATCACTAGAGGGTCTTGTTGGCACACATGTTCTAATTCAGTAGACCTGTCATGGAACTCGAGATTCTGCTTCTTAACCATCTCCCAAGTGCTGATTCTGGGCCAAGGATTTCACCTCCAGTAGTAAGGACCTGTTTTCCACTGAAGTGTGTGTCCTGGACCCAGACCAGGTGTGCTTGTTGCAAGGAAACTCAAGAGGAGGGATAGAGGGAGGGTGTCCAGCATTTGTCTAATCTGACTGGGAGCTTCAAAACACCATATCTACATTCTGTCCCCTGAGATCTGGCTCTGGGTGCTGGGAATTGAGAAGTTTAAAAGCTTCTCTGATGATTCTAAGAGACCAACATTGGAACTCACCATCCTGGAAAGCCAATATTGGTTGGACAAGAACTCTTGAGAAGTATCCCTCCTAAAGTCCATGCTGGGACTAGGGTAAATTGAGAGGGGTATATGCCTTGGGCTGTAAGGTTAAAGGAAAGGGGCACCTAAAAACTCAGTAACTGAGATGAATAATATTTTAATATAATCTCTTTTTAAAATTAAAGTTAACAGTCACAATCAATGAAAAATAAACATTTTAGAAGACAACAATCTGAAAGAGTGCTTTGTGGAGTCAACCATATTCGAGCTTTTGTCAAAAAACAAATTGATGAACTTTTAGGCCATGTGCCCAATTTCTATCCTCCTAACCCCTTGGGCTAACCAACCAGCTAAGGAAACCAGAGGTGGGGCTGCTGTCTCACCTATGTGAGCCCCCTCCCCTCTCCTAACCACTGATCCTGGGAGTAGTGATGGGCAGGTATACCCCTGGCCTCAGACATTTCATAACTGGGTCATAGCAAACCTTTCAATAAAGTAACCAAGACCATAAGAAGAATAGAAGACATTTATTGAATTCTAAGTGTTTTACAAATAGTCAATTTACTCCTCACATTAGTGCTTATGAGGTAGGCACTACTGTCATTTCCTTTTACAGGTGGGGAAACCAAGGCACTTAAGTTTAACAAGCTCACCCAAAAGTACACAGTAAGAAGCAGAAGCAGGAAATCAAATCCAGTCATTTCTGGCTCCAAAGTCCATCCTCAGAGCTCTTGGCCCAAAATGTACTCTTCACTTTATCACATAATGTACAAAAGGGCCATGCAACGAAGCCATGAAGCAGGATTAAAAAAAACTACACTAAAAAAACCAATCAAGTAACCAAAGAATAACATCAGTCACAGAATGACCAAATTGAATAATGGGACCCCTTTGCCTTTATTAAATTTCAGGTAAGAAATTAAGCTCATCAAACGATGTTAGAAGTTACAGGGTCTAGGAATCTGAGTATTTCCTATTCTGATGAGTCTTTCCTGGCATATGCAGAAGGATGCCAGGGGCCTTGGTGTGCCCATCATCGGATGGTGTACTTGTCCCACTTCTTCTCGGGATCGTAGGGCTCCCAGCGGCTGGCGGGGAAGATGTGCTTGTTCTTCTCATACCAGCTCCGCAGCACCACTTTGCCTGCGTGTGACTCGTCCTTCTCCATGGTGGCATCGCTGAGCAGCCTCACGTCATCGTGCACATCGAAGTTGAAGAGCGGACCGCTCTTGCCCCTGGCCTTGGCGATGATGAAATCGTAGAAGGTGTGGTAATGGGGCAGGATGAGGTCCTCCTTGATGTACATGAGCTGCTCCACGCCGGCCGAGCGCAGTTCGCGGAAGTCCTTTCGCAGCCCCTGCAGCGCCTTTTTCAGGAACTGCTGCACGGTGCTGCCCTTGTTCATACGCACGGTGCGCCGGTGCCCCGAGCCGTCCCAGTAGCTGAAGGTGATCTCCATCTCCTCGCTCTTCACCTTCTCGCGCTTGGCCTCCCATTCCTTGCGCAGCTCCTCTCGGAGCCGGTTCTCCTCCTCCTCACGGTCACGATCTGGCAGGAAGCTCGTGTCCACGTCGGGATTCTTGCCCAGGTTCTTCTTGCTCTTGCTGGCCTCGGTCATGCCGCCTTCATTGCGATCGTCGCCTCGGTCATCGCAGTGGTCATCGCCGTCGCCGTCGTCCACCGTGAAGGACAGGTTGGAGATCTTGCGCTTACGCTCCAGCCTGCGCTCTTTTTCGCGCAGCAACTCCAGCTGCAGCCGGCGCTCTTCCAGCTGTTCCTTCTTGGCCAGCTGCATCTCGCGTTCCCTCAGGAGGGCCTCCTGCTTGGCCTTCATGTCGTTCAGGGTGACCAGGCCCACCGTGCTGGACTTGAGCTCGGCCTCCACGGCATCGTAGTGAGCTGAGAACTTTTTGTCCACCTTCGACTTCATGATGGTCTCTTCAGCGATGCGCTGCTTCAGCACCTCCATCTGTTCCTTCTGCTTCTCCCGCTTCTTGATCAGGTGCATGGCCCTGCCAGCCTCCCGCATGGTGCCCTTGTATTGCGCCATGCCTGGTGCTCAGCACAGCTCAGACTATTTCAGTCCAATTCCTTTCTCACACCTTGGAGTTTCTGCGCTAATTCATGAATTCTGCAGCAATGAAGAAAAAAATACATGAATTTGAAAGAAACCCACATAGCATCTTTATTCATGACCTAAACCAGCACCTTATAAAAGAACTTTCTACCATGTGCTGACCTGGAATGGTAACCAATCAAGTGAGACCACTGAACGCTGGAAATGCAGCTAAGCTAGAGTCATCAAGATACTGCCTTTTCTTTTATTTCTGTTAATTTAAATAGAAGGAGCTACTTGTGCCTACTGGGCAGTGCAGGTCTACATTCTGGGAACTGCACGTGGAGAGGGATAGTCTACAGAGCAAACTCTTTATGCATTGATACCGGTTCAGGTGCCCAGTCAAGCACAGACAAGAAAGAACCAGAGCATCAGGACAGCCTCAGCCACAGGGGGAAAAAGAGTTTGAGAGGAAAATGTGTACCCTGGTGGGGAAGGCTAGCCTGAAGGAAAAGCACCTGTCTCCTCAGTTGGATTGCTCTCCTTTGGGGAGGACATCTGGGTGCCAGCAAGGGGAGAAGAGTCAAGTGGCAGCACCTTCCAGAATGCACTTTTGTTTGTTTGTTTGGTGCCGGGGATTTGAACTCAGGGGCACTTGACCACTGAGCCACATCCCCAGCCTTTTTTTTTTTTTTTGGTATTTTATTTAGAGGCAGGGTCTCAATGAGTTGTTTAGTGTTTAGTGTGTCTTTCTTTTTTGCTGAGGCTGGCTTTGAACTCAAGATCCTCCTGCCTCAGCCTGTTGAGCTTCTGGGATTACAGGTGTGTGCCTCTGAACCCTGCCAGAATGCACTTCTGTAGAGGGTGGTGTCCCTGCCTCTTACTGAGGAATCATTTCTGTAGTGGCTGTTTTTTGAGTCCACTGAAGTATGTATAAGCCATTAGACCCAGCCTCACTTGCTGTGGGAAGTAAGACACTAGAGGAATCATATACAGTAAAGGAGGGCTAAGTACAAAATTATCTTTTTGGTTCAGCCAAAGCAAATTGAGGCCTCTGCCTGATTTTACTGGAGCCAACCATCTTTCACCAGGACCAGTCTTTTCTTCTTCACCCTCTTCGCAGCTCCATCAGCTGATGGAGTCCCATGAACAGTGGGCATCCTTCCAACCAACTTGTCCCCACCCCTCCCACACTCTTAAACCCTTCCACTGTGCCTTCTGGAATACAGTGCCTTAGCAAACACCTGTTACCTTCCTTTTACTTTCTGGTTCTATCTGGAGCCCAAATGTTCCCTGAGGATACTTCTTGTCCCTATGGCTCCCTAAAACTGATGTTCTTTTTCTCTGATATTCCACATCTCAAAATCTAATGTGAGTATACAAGACCTTAAACTATACTGCAGAGCAATAGTAACAGAAAAAGCATGGTATTGGCACCAAAATAGACTTGCAGACCAATGGTACAGAATAGAGGACACAGAGACAAACCCACATAATTACAATTATCGTATATTAGACAAAGGCACCAAAAACATACTTTGGAGAAAATATAGCCTCTTTAACAAATGGTGCTGGAAAAACTGGAAATCCATATTCAACAAAATGAAATTAAA